TCTCACCTGGTCATGGATGATTATTAACAACATAGCGTCACTTTGTTTTAGGTCCCTATTCTAACCTACCTGGAAAGTGGTGATTAGTGTAGGAACAGCAGCGAATATTCCCTCTCAAATCCACTGCTGTGCCATAGAATAATTCAAAGAGGAGACACCCCCTCCATCCACACCCTTCTACACAAAACTCACCAATTAGTGTAGGTCCTACTATGTAAACACAAACACAGACAGGCACATGCCCTAAGAGGGGAGATCACATTGTGAACTCCTGGACTTAGGCTTGAGACCTGTTCTAAAGGCCATCTTTGTTCCATTTTGAACAATTATTCAGAAATGAAAACTCTGGTAATAGAAGTCATGCGTAGCACCTAAACAGAGATTTACATTTTCACAGCACTTTGTAAATATTAAATCATTAGTTTAAGAAGCTCGAACTAACTACACTTTAGAGATTTCAAAAAAAAATAATCCTAACTTGGAATGAGAACCTCCCTTCCATACTGAGGCACAGCTATAATCGCAGGGAGGAGAAACGGGACCTTGATCAAATTGACAGCGTCCCAGTAATCAAGGTTATTTTTTTATTTATTTTAATGTAACAGTAAAAATAATATGAATAAATACCATCACTACTTTGGCTGAAAGTCGCTGGAGAGGAGCAAAGATCTCAAAATACTGGCAAATTAACTACCATTAATTACTTCTTAGAACAACGTCAGCAGTTAGGTATGATCATGTTACAGATGTCAAAACTGAAGCAAAAGAAGAGTCAGTGGCAGAGCTGGAAGACAAGAACCCTGATCTCCTGACTCATGTTCACTAGAGTTCACTACCTCGAGACCATGCTTCTCCACAATATAGCAAAGAAAACACATTATAAAGAATAAGTGAACGATCACCAAAAAAAGGTTGCTGTTGCGGTCTTGAAATGCGGACTGTGGAGTGTTTGGAAGCATCTCAAGGTGCGGTGGAGACAGTCGTTTCTGGGGAGGCTATACGGGAAGCTCTGCGCCGCAACAGGCGGAGAGATCTCTGCCAAGCCAGCCAGGCTCCGGCGTGGATGTTCCCTGCCGGCTCACTCTGCTGGAGGGGGGCGATGCCATGGTGTTTGCAAGGAGCAATCGTGACAATTTTTTATTAGAAAGCCCAGAATAAAACTGGGGATCATTTTCACAGGAGGATTATAGATGTCTATCACGCAGGGGAACGTAGCATTTACTTCCACTGCTGCTGGAAACCTACATTAATGAAGATACATATATTTAAAGAGCCCCATGAAATGTGTTTGTCAGTGTCTGTAACACACACTGTACAAGAAGCGCCTAACCTGTTCTATAAATATCATTATCTTTCCCAGCGAGCATCTAAACAGAACGGCCCCGTCCAAAGCATGTGTCTAAACAAACAGTTACATCTCCTCCCTGGATGGAGTATGTCTTTTATACGCGCTTCCTATGGCACGCACAGCCTCTCTCGACATCCCGAGAGCAGCAGCCGACAGTCACAGGCAACTTGCCCAAACACAAAAAAACTCTTAACAGATTTACAAAATGACTATTAACACAAACACGCTCCATCCATGCCTCGATAATTCATTAGCAGTCTGATCCGGGGCTCCAACATACACACAGAATTTGAAAGCAACCTCCTGACTTAAAAATAAAACGGTGGTTCTCTCTGAGAAATATGTGATCTCTCCTAGCCCACATACATGCATCAAGGGGGTCAGATCCCGATCCTAGTGATGTAATTAGAATGAGAATGTGGTCGTAAGAGTACGTGCGCACACACACACACACACACACACACACACACACACACACACACACAGTATCTCTAGCTGCATATGGATGCAGTTCTGCATAGAGTTGGCTCCGGCTGTGATACTATACATTTATGGCTTGACACACTATTATATATTTTTTGGGTTCCTTTTTTTTAAAAAAGAGAAATTTCTCAGAAAATCATCTCTAAAGTTAGAACAGTGTAAAAATATTTTAAAACCATTTGAAAATGTTTGTTTGTGATGGTACAAGGGACGTGTGTAATGCAATGAAGTCATTCACCCATCGCATGGTCTAATCCCTTTCAGGATTTTGAAAAATACAAATAAACAATTGAATCCTGCAATTCTGAAGAGCCTCTACTGAATACATAAAGACTTTGCTGATCTGCGGGAGCTTCATTACGCCCGTCTATCCACTTTTGCTTAGAAGTTTGTCCACAGAACCCTTTCCCTGCAATGGACCCTACACTACGATCCTTCTTTCCCAAAGGGTTATGTACATTATTCACACAAGGAACCCAAGGAACTTCCTGAGGGTCAATGAGGAGAAATTTTAAAGGCCCTGAAATATATTTTTGCGTACAAGCATAAAGAACCCTGCAAATATGTATGTACGTCTCAGAACATGACAGGTTCTGTGGTGCAGCCAGTCAGCCGTGTCATCCCTCAAGTTTTTCCTTTCTAAAAACTGCCATATAAAGATAATTAAGACACATTTTTAAAATCCCATCCCCACAGTAAATAACCCCACTGTGGTAACGTATTTAAGATTCTGACATACATAGAAAACATGCTCTTTGGTGCAACAGCTAAATACGATGGGAAGGAGGAAAGGTCAAATTTACCTTAAATTGTCCTGGTACTTACTTTATGACTTTAAGATTAATAAAACATGAATGGATGTTGTGCTAATATGCATCCAAAGTGTATGCAGGCAGTGTTATAAATGGTTATGTTAGCAATTGTGTCTAAAACCTGGGGTGATATTAAAACAAATTTTAAAAGCCAGGAGAGTGAAAATTAATCCAGTCATTAGAAAGAAAAATAAAACCAGTTTCTCTCTAATATTTTGGTCAGCAATCTGTCCCACTGGTTGTGATGCCTGCATTCATTTTGCCCTAGTGCAAAGGTGAATCACTTTAACCAGTTTCTATTTCTCTTCTAAGGAAAAGGGGGGGGAAACTTTTCACATGTTCACAAGTTTTTGAAGCAACTTGCAAAGTTGTTCTTCTGCCTCTCTCGTTATAATCCCGCTGTCTAATCATTCCCAGTGGGCGTGGGGAAGCCAATGCATTGGCGTGCATTCCGTTAGCAGCCTTACTCCTCTGTGAAGTACTTATTTATTTTTCAGGAGTACAGCGTCCACATAGAGCACACAGTCTTGGTGAAGACAAGATTTATCCCTTCCACACAGGAGCATGTGCCTGTGTCCGCTGTTCTGTCCACTGCTGTGCTACATGTGGTCTAATTCATTTAACAGATTTACTCCTTTAAATCAGCTATCGGACAGGATTTTGCTAGCAAGATACACAGCAACTGATGCGCTTTAAATTCATTTTGCTAGCAGACCTGCTCTTCCGCCGTTATCTCCCAAAGTATTCATTTGAGCAAGCTTCATTTCCACATCCAGGTTATATTGATAAGGGGGAGAGATCCATAAAACATCAACACAGGGTATCTTTAGATATTGTGATCCCACCTTCCTTCCCTCCCCCAAAATGAAAGCTCTGCCCCCACCTACAACAGTTGTGCCTACATATTAACAACACTGATGAGGAGACCCGGAACAAGGAAAGCAGTTCTAATGCACAGAAAGTAATATAGGGGGAAAAGAGAGATCACATTTGTGCTGGGAGAAGCACAAGGCTTCTGTCTTCAGTGGGAATCGTCCCACACTTGCAAACGCTGACATAAAAGACACACTGGCAGCATATTTCAAAACCAAAGAGCGATGGATTTACAAGGCAGGTTGATTTTATGATGACTTTTATTGAAAAAGTACGCTGGGTGTAGGCAGATACCTTTTAGTGCTGGTAAGTTAACACAGTGCCTAATTCAAGGAGACAGCCTGAGGAAGCAGTGCCGACAGGGGAGAGAGAGCCACAACGTCTCTATTACTCTCCTCGGCATCATAAAGGGGAGAAGAAAAATCGTATCTAAAGGGGAGCGAGGGAGCTGGGCTGCAGTTTTCTTTGCAAAATAATATTTTTTTTTTAAAAGAAGAAAATCCACAAGAATGTACAAAGGGGTCCATGTGAAAACAAAACCACTTTGGCATCTGAACTAAGCCTTTGTGTTTAAAGGAGATCTCTCCAGCTAAATGTTGCCACATCTGATTGCTCTGAAGTCGGGGACTGCAGGCCCTGTTCTCCCGAGACAGCTCCCCAGAATGGTGTTCCCCCACCGAATGGTTCAGCTTTTCATGCAAGGAGGGCACTGGGGTAGCCTGCCCTCCTCCAGCAGAGATACTGCGCGGGAAAAGGAGTTGTTACAGTAGCGTACGTTAGACAGGTTTCAATTGCTGATCCTTGAAGGGACAGATTGCCTTTCCAGTGGTCATGCAAAGGGGGGCTCCAGAGAAAGTACACAGCCTATTTGGGGGGTCACTTCTTGAGCCATACGAGCGTAATCAGCTTTATGTCTCTAGGAAAGAGTTTGAGTGCCCAAAATACTATTCCGTGAAATACCGCATAAGGGAACTTTGTCCTGTTCTGAGGAGCAAAGCAGGAAGGCTGATATCCTAGGTACAAGAACTGAGCGTGTGAGGAAGAGGGCAGAGGAAAAATATCAAAGGGAGCAGTGTGTGCAGTTTTAACTGATAAGCTCCCTGAAAAAAGTTCTAGTTGTATACTACAGATGCCCCCTTCTGTGTATACACGCACACGCGCACACACACACACGCGCACACACCAGAGTATCTCTCTCTGCTTGGAGGCACGGCCATCTTTCCGTGCTTAGCAGACCCAGTTTCAAGCAGAGAGAACGGTGTCTCTCCCACAGGTGCATTTGAAAATGGGTTTCCTTCCAATACACCTTACCGTGAAATCCATCAATGTCCATTTAAGAAAAACAAGGCACCATTTTATCATGTAACTCAGCGCGAAGGAAAGGACATTCAGCAGGAACCGCAGCACGACAAAACGACGCACCTGTTGAGCATCTCAACGAGGCGCAGCGAAGTAAAGCCGAGAGGGGTAACGGAGGTACTTACATCTGTCGTTTCGGTCTTCGGGACTGGACGAGGTCTCCCGGTCAGAAATGAGGCCAGAGACCGCAAAGATCTTTTTCCCCGTGTCATCGACTTTGAGGGAGCCCGGGGAGCTGGAAGGGAGCTGGGTTCCAAACTCATACTCCTTGCCGTCCGCGTCCGAGAAGCGCAGGTGGGGCGAGTCCGTGTCATGGCAGTTTTTCAGGCGTTTGGCCGGCGTAAAGGCCGACTGGTAGCTCTCCCTGTCTTCAGTGGAGGCAAAGGGGCGGAAAGCCCCAACGCCGCTGTGGTTCAACATACTTATTGGCGTGCAGTCCAAGTTGGGGGGTGCAAACTGGGGGTGGAGGTGCAGCAAGGATGGGGGAAAGTCACGGTTCGCGAATGCTCCTGGCACCCCACCTTGCCGGTGATACATGGAGGCAAAAGTATATGAGCCATTGGTAAAGGGGATATGCACGTCCTTATCCACTGATACCGGGACTCCAAAGGGTCTTGGCTGCTGACAGGGGATGGAAGCGTCCCGGCTGGCTTCAGCAGTGGAGGCGAGAACCATCAGGGCCGGAGATGCCAGCGGGTTGGGAAGATAGGATGAATTTTCCATCTTGAAGGCTGCCCGGTGTAAGTCCATCGGAGTCTCTTTCCTCAGCAGGGTCACAAGGGGAACAATCTTCCCTGGAAGGAAGGTCAAGCGAGGCCTGGTTTTGGAGCAGGGAGATCACTGAGGCATCATCGCCGTCCCAAAGCTGCAGAGAAACAGAAGGGAAGAGAAAACACAAGTGGTGAGGCTTCTGCACTTGCTTCTTCTGGACACTCCATGCAGTGGGAAGGCCACATGCGTTAGAACCAACTGCCCAGCAACGCGCCCATGTTCTCATTCACAAAAATTAACAGACAACTTCACACACGGGTGGAACCAACTTTGGCCCACTCCACATGACAGAGGGAAAAATCCTACCAAAGGCATTAGTATAAAGGATTTATTTGTAATATAAATATCCCCACGTCAATAATCTCGGTGTGGTCTAAAATTAAGAGACATTCCCCTCAACTGATCATCACAATTCAATATATGTAAAATATATCGTATCTATTGAACATAATTACATGAACAGAAATAAACATTTATACAGTTGTTTATACTGCCTATGATGCATAAGGAATGTGTGTAATATGTGTCTATTTTTCTCACACATTATGTATGTGTAGGTACATGCACATATGCAGGTATACATTTTACATAATCATATAACACACACACACACACAGTGTACACACACTTTTTTTTTTTAAAAGGAGCAGAGACTTCATCAATAAAATGCCTGGCGTCTCTGACAATATTTAAAATCATAATGGGTGCCTCTGCCATGTGATCTCTGCAAATGTCTGCCTTTCGGGTCGGGGACAGCGGAGAACGGATCAGTAATTTTAGTTCCTAATGCACTAGCTCTTAAGTAGATTTGTAAACTGCTCTGTATGTGCCATTAACATTTAGAGGAAAATGTTAACAAAATTTCTGGCTTGCATTTTGCTGAGCCTCCTAGCTCGGCCAGATCCATTCGCCCAGCCACAAACCCCCTCGGAACAAGAGGCAGAAAAATCCTTCCTTCTGTATCTCTCTGCGCTTTCTGATTTAATGGTTTGGTTTGTTATTTTCTTTCCCGATCAACCTAGTGCCTTTTCTTTTAAGGTTCCGATGCCTACCATTCAGGCCCCAAGACCTGTCTTAAAATACAAGAACTATAACTTTGAAACAATATACTAGCCTGCCAGAGCTCAAAGGGCTAAGAAAATCATATAATAATAAAAAGCTGTTACAAATTGTCTCTCTTAAATCCAGAGGGTCAAACATCTCAAATAAAACTTACTGAAAGAGTCTCTTCCTAATGGAGTGCCTTTTGTATTCCATGAATGAGGGAGCCTAGGTTAACAAACTGTATGAAATCCAGTCTGTGACTTTAATGTAGTCCAATGATAACATTTCCTTTCTCCCATCCTGTTCCCAAACGCTTCAGTGACTGTTATTAATTGTAAAGATGAGTGGACATCATCTCTCGGCTTCCTCATTTGGCATTCTTCCTTATAGACATCACTGCTAAATTACCAGATTATGTATCTCACATTAACAGGTTTGCTCTCTTCCAAATTTTAAATAACTTTCCTGTCAAGTTCTAGCCATGGAGAGGGAGAGAGAGATGCCAAGGGCAGCGTGTAAAAGCACAGAAAGCCTGGACACGCTTGTTTTGCTGCTTTCAGGAAAGCTGATCAACACACATACACACACACAAAAACACGAGCACAAAACTGCATCCACTAGTGAATTTTGGGTTACTGGGTTTTTTTTCAGGCTGCTATAAAAAAAGTAACACGCATACACAAATAAATAAGCACTCACACAGAAATGAACAATCGTTAATATGTAAGTGGGGCTAAGAGATCATTGGAAAATATGGTTTCCAAAAAAAAAAAAAGAGGAGCACTATTGCGGCTCTTTGCCTCTTTTTCTATTTTTACTTGTTCCATCACCTCACGACATTCAATGTATTTCATCAATTAGTATTCTGGCCGCAACACTTGACACTCCTGTAGGATATTGTGAATCACTCCGGCCGCCTTATGCGTTTGCAAACTTCATTATGCCGGGAATAAATCAACACATTACAATATCTCACCCAGCCAAATTTAATTTTTTTTTAAACTCCCACTTCCCTTTTCGCTCGCTCTCTCTGTCTCTCTCTCTCTCCCCCCATTAGCAACATGTACAGATGAGACTGCGGCGGACCAGTCATTATGAAAATCTATAGTTAATACACTCCCAATGTCAAAATGTCATGGGTTTAAATACAGAACCCAAAATAAGAAAACTAACTGACCTTCTTAATTAAAAAAATATGGATTGCAGGATAATCAGCTTGATGGACCATTTGGGCGACTGTAAGGTAGTGGGCACAAGGCAAAGTAAGTAACGGTTACTTTTCTGCCTCTATGCTGATTTTTTTTAATTTAGCACCCCGTGCAAATCCAGATTAAAATAACTCCAGCTATTGATCTGAGCAGTGGAATTGACATTAATTTTAGTTCACTTCTCACTTTGCAAAGGGATCAATAGGAAGTAATAACAGCTGACATCCCCACTGAAAGGAGGAAAAAAAGACGGGCTGGAGACAGAAATCGAAAAGCAACCAAATAAATCAGTAGCTACTTTTCCACGGCATCAGACAAACTCCAAACAGATTGCAAAAAGTCTTTGTTGAATTAACTAAACAAGGAGTGGAGGGAGCAGGGGGTAGAGATCAATCTACGAAGCTACATAAACTGTCTACCAGGCATCGAGGTCAAATGGACAGACCAAAAAATATTGTGATTTTTCATTTTTTTTTAAATGATTGCTCTGATATACAAGAATTTTGTAAAGACATTTTGTTTAAGGTGTATACAAATTGCCAGCATACGATAGGTTACTAATTGCAAGGTTAAATATGCCAAAACCAAGACAAATTGAATCAACAGCCTTAACTTTGAACCGTTAAAAAATATCTCACCAAGGAACAACTTCTTATCAGTAATCTCTAGCTCAAGTCTGATTCCTCTGTTTGTAAAAGATTGTAACACTGGTTTGAATTAGGTAAAGAGAAAGACAGACAAAAAGTCAGTCAATCTATGACGGGTTGGATTTAGCAGGCATCACAAACATTGTGTGAGTGGAGAAAATAGAGCTGACCACTGTTATAAGCATAAAAACCTCTTTGCTAATCAGCATGGAAAGAAAGAATAAAAAAGGTGCATATCTTAAAGCATTAAGAGTTTCAATCAACAAATCACTTCTCTGATATCAATTAAAATAAATAAAACACACCACTTTGTTTATTACAACAGGTTGCATTTTTGTGATCTCTCAACCATTTCCAAACACCAGGAATTAAAATAAAGGGACAAATTAACATTTTTCTCCTTCCAGGAACAAACTTCTTAAAATAATTAATTAGCACACTATTTAAGAAGCTTAGAAACCTGAGCAAAAACAGAGAGGAAATTAGGACAGATTTTTTTTTAAATCATATCATACATTTACATTAAAGTTTCCCCCCCATAAATGTCAAGTAGGAATTTATAAATATGTCCTGTGTAGAAAAGCCAATGATTATAAAACAAAATAATGCCAGCTGTTTGGGGATTTAAGTGCTCAAATGGATTAAATATTTGAACTAAACTGGATTTCCTCGTAAAAAAAATTAAAACAAATGCAAGCTAGAAAGCCAACACAGAAGAGATCTCTTCAGTGGATTAAGATACAAAGGAAAAACAGTTCATTTTTTAATATGTGCAAAATATGCCAATTTCAGGCACCCGCAGGAGCCGCTGGTATGAAAACCGGTTTAGAAAAAAAATCGGAGGGCCATGCCAGCGAGTAGAGGAGGCAGATTGGGTTGGAAACGGAAAAGGATCGGTGCAATTTTAAGGCATTAGGGACCAGAAATCACCCCATCAGGCTCGAGCGGCTGCCTTCATGCAGAAACCATGTCGCCTCGTTTCTCCTCGCTAGGGAAGAGGCTGCCCCTGATTTGGTTTTGCTACAAACTTCTTGCAAAAATTGAGTCCCGCTCCCCACACGATCAGCAGGCGGCAAAGGAGCCAACACAGCAGCTGGAGGAAGAAGGGGGTTTTAAAAAATAAATACAAAGATCGGTCCTCCACCACGCCCTCCCGCCCCCGCACACAGCGCAGTTTTTCAAAATTAAATTGAAAATCCGAAGGAGAATTCGCCAGGGCGAAGGAGGCTTTAGTTTGTCAAGCGCCCAGGGCGGCGAACCCGCACTGGGGCTTACAAGGGGGACAGTGAGAGGGGGAAACTCCCACAGAAATTAACCAGGGGCTTTTTACAGGAACGCTCTGAGCCGACCTGCGATTATTAGGGAATATTCCTCCCATCGCTCCAAACCCCCAGACAGGCACATCTCTCCCAAGTACAACCCGGGGCTTGGGTTTTGTTTGTTTGGGTGCTCTTTGCATCCAGATCCGCTCCTTGCAAAACAGAAATCTATCTATTCCGCGTGGACTTCCCTGAATGTTGTGCATTTGACTATTTGCTTTATCGTTCACATTTTCATCCCCCGCAAACCCCCAACTTCCCCCCCCAAAAAACCCCTCCAAGGAGGTGTGTCAAGGTTTAGATTAGAAACAAAACAACACAAAAAGCGCACAGCCATTTGACTTTCTCCAGTTGCAAATTAAACAGGTGTTTTCCTCCCCCCGCCTTCCCAATTTGGGGGCAAGGGGTTTCAGGGACAAACCTGTTCATTTCGTTTGGTCCGAAACAAAACATTCCCCCGAAATAGAACAAGGAAATGAACGTGGAGAAATTCGCTTTCTTCTCCGCTTTCTCTGCCTGTGCTAGATTCTCATTAAATGCAACAAATTATATCGTGCACAAAATAATGTTACAAAGTCGGGGAAAGAGAGGTCAGGGAAGAGCAGAGAAACGGAGACAGGAATTTCTTGTCTTCTTCGGAATTATTTGTTCTTTTCATGGGGGTGGGGAGGGGGGCGCTTTTCCATCCCAATTTCTACACTCCATGAAGTGCACTTTTTTTCACTTAAAAAAAAGTCAGAAACAAAGCTCATCAAATGTGAGGATGACTAGAGTTGTTTGAATTTATGGCAACAATCACTTGCCATACACATTTCCTGTGTGGAAGGAGAAGCATTCAATACAACTCTTTAAGT